AGAAGAGAGAAATCATCAAGAGTCCTTGAGTTTTGTTTTTTAGATTTCCCATGGCTGGAAGGATGCATTGTTTGTTTATGATTTATCAAATAACTAAGAGTTGGAAAGTATTTATTACTCAGAACAACAAAGACGTGAATAGGTTGTTTGATCAAGAGATGGGCAATGCAAATCATACCCAGGAATTTTCAAAAGATCATAATACTCAAGGAAATGTATGGGGTTTGTGAAATGTCCATCTCTAGCTTTTGTGATTGGAGGTAAAAAACCATTATTTAATTGAAGAAAATCCATGGCTTCTTTTGTACAAGATGGTCCACAACAGCTCCTATTCATGCATCATTTAATATCAATAGAATATTGACATAAGTTACAATGATTTTCAATCCATGACCATGGCACAAAACATTCTGTTGAGTCAATTCCTTTCTCTTGTTTCTTTTTTTGTTGTTTTTGTTCTTCTATTTTTTCTTTTTCTGTACCTTCAAACTGCAGGTTTTCAAATGGATTAACAAGCTCTTCAACATACCGTGCATCTACACCTTTTCCAAAAATCAAATCATGGTGCCAAATATTACAAAGTGCCTCTCCAGCATATCGAAAGTTTTGGAGGGCTAAATCTGGATTGATCACTTTGCCTTGTGTATTTAGGTGTGTTCCATATAAGGTTGTGGGCGAAACCTCTTAATGACTGTCAAAACTCTGTCGAAACTCTAATGAACAATTAATGTGTAACCTGTCGAAACTCTGATGATTGGCAAAAACCCCAAATGCGAAACTCTGCCAAAACTCTAATAAACAATTAATGTGTAACCTGTCGAAACTCTGTCGATTGATTTCTGGAGGAGTTTCTCCCACAACCTTAGTTCCATAGTGATCAATTGGTAGTGTGATACCTGTCAATTTTCCAGATAGTGTTGCCATGCCCCTTTCAACAGGATTATACTTGGATTGTCCTGGAGCATGTGTTCGTACAGTCAGGTAATCTAAATCAAATTTTCAAAAAAGTTGACAGTATGTTTTAATGTTTTTTAGATGTCTTGGATTCTCATCTGGTCTTCCATCTACTAATAACACCCAAATAGGTCGAATTTCTCCATTAATCTTCAACACATCATCATATTGAGGATATAAAGTGAAGCTTTCAAGATCTTGCATGTGTGTGTGTGAAGACGTACCAAGGGACCATTGATGACATACAAAAATGGCAAGTTGTCCTGTTCGTAATTCATCATTTGATTCATTTGGTTTGATCATAAGATAAACTGATGGAACTAACTCTTGCCCACTTCCTACAGGAAAATCATGATCAGCCACACAAACAGGCTCATGAACTGACTGCAATGTGTGAAATGTCCGACCTACAGCAGGCACTCCAAGACCTATTTTTGCCTTGTCATCTTGAGAAATGATAACAGACATATCAGCAAAGACAGTTGCAAATTGCTTTGCACATTTTAACAGATGCAAGACAATAGTGACCAATAGATTATCTCTAAGAAGTTCTTGATAACCTTTACAATTAAGTTTACCATCTATTACCACCAAAGGTCCTAGACAATTATTAACAAAACAACCCCATACCATTACACCACCTCCACCATGTTTAAAGGTAGGTACAAGGCAATCAACATCATACTTTTCTTTCGGTAGATGCCAGACCCTTTGCCTACCATCATTTTGATGCAAATTATATCTTGATTCATCACTCCAAATGACATAATTCCATTCTGTGTTCCAATTCTTCCATTCTTTGCACCATTTTAAATGTTTCTGACGATTTTTTTCTGAAACAAAAGGTTTCCTTAATGCAACCCGACTGTAATAATCTTCTCCATGAAGATAATTATGAATAGTTACACTACAGATAGAAGTGGACAAATATTCATTTACTGAATCAGTAATTTGCTCAATAGGCTTATCTCAATTTTTTTTGGTAACTCTTTTTACTTGTCTGACATCACGATCATTTAAGGCTGAAGGTCTTCCACTTCTTGGTGCAATAGTAGTTTGAACTTCTCCTTTAAATGCTTGTATTGCACAAGTTACTTGTGACTGAGAATGATGGAGTGCACTGGCAATGTTACAAGTGCTTTCACCTGCTTCCCAACGCCCAATTATTCTTCCTTGTTCAAAGTCTGTTAATTGAGACATGATGTTTTAATTGAAATAACAAATTGAAAGTTCAATCTTTTTTTTTAAAAAAAAATCTAGTTTTGGTTAGATATTTCAGCTGCAATTGCCCTTTAAAGTTTGTTTGCACATAATGATAATCATCTTCCATAAAAAATTCATTATGATTTTTTTTATGTTTTGTATTAATGCTCCATGAATATTCAATCAATAATTATGAACGTGTATATATATACATTTGAGAACAAACGGAACAACATTTCATAAGTTCCCAAGATGTGTTAAAACATTGTATCTTAAAATAGCTCTAAGTGCTACTTTTTCAAAAAATTTTCAAAAAATTTTAATTTGACTTTTAAAATCATAAAATTATCAATAACAATTAGCCCAATGTGATATTT